TGCGCCACCGTGCCCGGCTGGAATTGAGTCTTGAACCTCAAGGCATCGGTGGTATAAGGGACTCTGGTGAGCAGATGAACTTATGCACCCAGCGACTGCATCCATTTACTGCTCGGTGCACCTGATGCCATCACAGGGGCCCTTGCAAGAGGGCACAGGTCAGGGGCTGGGACAGCGGGCCTGGGACACTGCTGCTGGGGGATGGGACCCAAGCCCCAGGGTCAGCAGCCTCTCCGTCCACATGGGCCGGGCCCGGGTATAATGTAGCTCTGTTCCAGGCCTCTCAGCTGTGCCTTTGTCTCAGCAGCAGCAGGAGAACAAGGGGTCTCCCCGAGCTGGGGCACAGACGCCGAGGTTAAGGTTATATGTCCCGGAAGGTGAGGCCGGGTGGCACCGCTCTGTGGTGGTGAAGGAGGAGCCCTGGGCAGGCCAGGGGCATGTGGCACCGGGTGGGAGGCAGATTCTAGTGGGCTCTGAGCTGGACTGTCTAAACCCTCTTTCCACTTAGCCTGAGGCACTCGCTGTGTAGCCCAGGCTGGCCCAGAACTCGCAGTGGTTCTCCTGCCTCAGCCTCCTGAGTGCTGGGATGACAGGCGTGCGCCACCTCACCCAGCACACGCAACCTTCTAATCCTCCCGTCCTCCTGGCTCCCATGGGTTGGGATGATCAACTGTCTGTTTCTGGTGGGCGTGAGCCTCTCCGACCTGTGCACTGGGTTTCGGGCACTGTTCTAGATCAGCGTTCCCGACAAAGCCACGCAGGGCTTTGTTAGAACTCGGCTTCTGGGTGAAACCCAGCTATAGTGCTGGCCTTAACTCCGTGTGGCAAGGTCTTAAGAGGCCGGAGGGGCTCGCCACAGACACCTCCCAGGGGACTTGTCAGAGCGGCCTGGGCTCCACTGCCCCCAGCTTAGCTCTAACCTGGGTTGCTTTGGGTGTGAGAGAGGCTCACTGTGAGGTACACACTGGCCTTGACCTCACTGTGTAGCCCAGGCTTGCCTCAAACCCGTGGTAACCCTCCTGCCTCAGCCTCCCACGCGCTGCGACTGTAAGCGTGCACCACCTCGCCTGGCTTAGCTGACCTGAAATGTGTCTTTGACTTCTTGTTCCCCGGAAAGGTTACGGACAGGAGCCTCCTTGGGAGATGCTGTGATCTGCAGCTTTGGTTCTCTCTGGAATTTGCAGTCATTTCCCCTCTGCTGGGATTTTGGTCCCTTAGTTTACAAAAACCTTCTCCTTGCTCCCACAATCAGCGGGTGTCATTCTTCTTTCGGTTTAGCTTTTTTTGTCTTGTTAATAAAATGTAAATATCTGACTTTTTTGTGTGTGTGGTGCTGAGGATTGAACCCAGAGCCTTTGCACTGAGCTACGTCCTCAGCTTATTTTAAAGTATTTTTGAGACGAGGTCCTGCTTACTCGCTGGAATGCCTAGGCTGGGTTTGATCTTCGTCTTCCTGACTCAGCCTCCCAGAGTGCTGGGATGACAGGCTGCAGGAGCACGCCCGGTGAATGTCAGACATCTCTTACAGGACTCTGGAGTGATTGTGTAGACGAGGTCTTCTGTCCCGTGTCTCTAGAACACTTGTCACCTGCCTGGCCTGGCTGTCACCTGCCCCTTGTGGCTGTGGTGGGGCGAGGCCCTCTGGAGCCCGCATCTCTGGGGGTTGGTCAGCGCATCGCCCCCTAGCGGGGAGGAGGCAGCATTTTCACTGTGTGCACACGTGTATGTATGTGTGCGTGTGCGTGCATGTGTACACACGGTACCGGGGACCCAACCCACAGGCACTCTGCCACTGAGCTACATCCCCAGCCCTTTTTATTTTTTATTTTGAGACAAGGTCTTGCTAAGTTACTCAGTTGTCCAGGCTGAGCTTGAACTTGGGATCCTCCTGCCTCGGCCTCCCACAGTGCCGGGATGACAGGCCTGCAGCTAAGCAGAGCCCGGCACCCTGCAGGCCTGCCCCAGGGCTCTGCCGGGCGACCTCCCTGAGGATGCCAGTGCAGAGAGAACCGCAGCCAGCGGCGCCCAATCCGGCCGCGGGGCCCCCGGGGTTCCAGGGCCGCAGGGCCGGCCGCGCTCCCCATCCCGTCCGGGGGCCGG